GATTTATCCTACTGGGCTCTCGCACCTCGGATGCAGACTGTATCGTGTTCCACTCGCCCTCCTTGTTTGTGATGTTGGAGTTTGGAGAGATGTCGTTAAGGTGACCCTTTCCTCTGGGATCATCCCAATTCGTATACTCAAACAGGACGGATTCTGCCAACACTCCTGTAGGATCTGAGTATATTGCAGCCTCTAACAGCACAGGTATCAGTTCCTCCACAAGGATTTCGTAAGTCAGATTAAGAATCCCGACGCCCGCGAACGTCGGACTGTGGCGAGAAATTAATGCATAATCAATTATCACTGTTCGCAACGAGATGATTGTAAAATGCATATTGCATAGCATGCAGCGATGCATTGGAATTGAGTTTTCCCTTGAGTTTTCTCATAGTTACAAAGTGCAAGTCATACAGTACTATATATATACAGAACGTGTGTAACACATATGAAACGAGAACCGTTCATTTACACGAAAGCGATTCCTTCATCCTTCGTTGTGCCTATTATCAGCTGGACGTCCTTAGCGTATTGCCCTGATGTGAGCAGGTCTAGGGGCATATTGGGGAGGAATTTCCCATCAACAGTTGGACTCCAATTTTCGATATATTTTTGAGCCTGTAAAGCAAAGACAATAGATGTGGACGAACAGAGGAAAGCTACCACTGCACATATTAATGGATGTCAGTGAAATCGGGTTTCTGTGCCACGTGGTACGTAATTTAAATTGACTCTTCTATGTTGATCGCAAGTAATTACCATCATCAGCTCGCTTGCATTGACTTGACGCAAACAATCCATCATGTCCCTGTGTGCCTCCAGGTCACTGCTATTTGCTGACGGACAGTTGACCAGCTCTGCTACATACAGGGTCACAGCAAGTGGTGCTTGCTCCACCGACCAAGAGGCGAGTGAGCTACCGCTCTGAGTGATTGCGCGGTGAAATAAACCTGCAAATGTCACGCACCTGTCAAATATGGTTATAATAACAGTCGATGTCATTGTAAATAACATTCATTTGACGTCAAGTTGTTGCCAAGACACAAAATAGTTTAATCCCAGGGCCGGCGGAGCCGGTCCGGCCAGTCCGGCCATGGCCGGACCAATAATTTTTCCGATCATTATTTTTTTCAAGCACACATTTTCGTTATGCACAGGCCGGATCTACAATTATTGCAATCCCGAGCATATAATCATCTGAAATCACATGTAGTTTATGTATACACGCATATATACTACTACATG